TCCTTAGTTCACAAATACATTCACGCTCCACCGCCTTTGCGTCTCGGTGCATTTTCCTGGCAGATGTTCAAGCCCCCGCTGGCAGAAACCCCTCGGAAACCCCCAAACCCGAACCCAATACCCCCGCGTGAAGAGGGATGGTGGGAAGGAAGGGGTGTCGGAGGGGTCTGGGTTGTGTTTTGGTGGGGTTCTCTCTGCCGGGGCTGGCAGAGGACCGTGTCCCAGTGCCACTAGATGGCAGCGGCCCCGCGCCGCCCGCTCCTCGCCCCGCGGCCCCGCTGCATCCCGGCCCCGGCGCGGGGCCTCCCGGCTCCACAGCATCCCCGCTGCGCTTTGGGAGGAGCGGCCTGGGACAGGCTTTCCGTGCCGAGATGCCTTGCAAAACCGAGGGGCACCCGAGCCCAAGCTAAAGGTTCTTTCGCAATGCGGGGCGACGGCGGGGACGGTCCTCGGAGGCTCCGACGCCTCCCCGAGACAAAATCTCCCCTTTTCCTTCCCTCCCGCTCCTGCTTCTGGTTTCTTTCTGGTTTTCTTTGCTTTTTTTTTTTTTTTTTCTCTCTCTCCCTCTCCAAAGTGCTTGCTTTTCCCTAGTTCGTTTCAACCTGCGGCGTCACAAAATCAGGCAGATGCACCCCCCCAAAACACAAGCTGATCTGCAGCAATGTGCACACACGGTCCGAGCTGATTTCCCAGCACTGGGGGATTTTTAGGCTGGCAGTAAACTAAGCAGGGCCTGAGGCAGGCTAACAAATAGCTTAACCTGGCTTTCCTCTATAGGACTGCATTTTTTTAGCCTTCAAAACAGTGTGGCTGCATCCAGCCTGCTCCTAGTGCACAGCCTCCAGCTCCTGGTTTGCCCCAGGGAAAAATGAGGGGACAAATGCCTGGCCCTCATCCAGATCCATGGCACAGAGCATGCATATAACCATGGGATACATTCCCAGCTCCTGTTTTCATCTCTGGGGGTAAAGTTAGCTGCAACAACCATCTCTGCTCCTTTTGGCTTATCCCTCCTCCTTTGAACCATTCCAAGTGTGATGCTGCTCTGCCCCTGGGCCCCTGGATGCCACCTGCAGGGAAGGGTGTTCTGAGGGTCCATCTGTTCAGGGAGCTTCCACTTGCTTTACTGTCATCACCCCTATTCTGGATTTAAAAAAAATTGGGCTATCTGGATGTTACTAAAACTCACCCCCTCCTGGGACAGGGTTTTTTTTAGACTGAAATAGGAAGCACAAACCTCACCCTGAGCTTCCTCTAGGGTTTGGTTCTTCCTAGAGGTTTCTCCTTACTGGAAATTTCTTTTCTGCACCTCTGGCCCTGATCCAGCCAAATGCTGAAGCACACGATTAGCTTCAAACCATCCAGTCCCCCACATTCCCACAGCACTTTCTGGGATGGGTCCCCTCATCCCTTCTCCCCTTGGGAATGCTCCTGCCTCTCCATGCTCCTGCTGTAAGATGATGGGTCTCCTCACTGCCGGCAGCAGGAGGCAGGATTATCATCTTGCTTTGCTGTGCACCAGCCACAAAACTAACCCTGTACCTATGCAGGGAGCTATCAAATCTATTTTGTGTGCTGTGAGGGCTCGTGAATGCTGCATGGGAAGATCTGGGCTCTTGAACCACGAGCACCTGCAGCCCTGATAGCTCATGTCTACAGCTCAGCCCATCCTCATCCTCTCTGCTCTCTCCCCAGGGGATGGTCAGGTAATGCTTAAATTGCCAGTAGTGCCTGTGAATATTTGACACTGACTGAGATGGCCAAGCAAAATCCCTGCTGCTGTCACCGACAGGGACTCAAAAACTTGCCCCCATGTCAATGATGTGCCCCAATACCCATCTTCCAGGGAGAAGAGCCACCAATTCATTCTGGCACAGGCCACCAAAATAGTCTGATGCATTTGGTCACACCCTCCCAACATCTTGGATCCTGATGATGATCTCCCAGGTTTGGTTGTGCTAGAGCTCTGATGGAAATTCATGATGATTTCCCAACCCTTCCACTGCAGTGAATTTAAATTCCTAAAACCCTAATGCACAGAATTGAAATGCATATTGATTAAGGGCCTTTTATGAATGTCTTGCAGAGCATATTAATAATTATTTAAAACTTGTATTCCAGTTTAATGACTCCTGTCACCAGCACTTTGAAGTGATTCAGTCTTGACTTTTAATTGAAATGCTTTAGTTAAGACAAATTGCTTCAGCCAGAGAAGGTGAAGTGCTCCTCCAGGTGTGTGCCATGGGGGGGGGGGAGGGGGCGCTTTCAACCTCAAGGGTCCCAAATTCCCAGGTGGCTGTGAGACTCTAGAGAGGAGTCTCTGTCCTTTGAGTGGGTGTGTGTGTCTTGTCTTGGGAGAAGCCGTTTCTTTGGACTTCCCCTCTGAGCGCTGCAGAACAAGTGTTTTGCTGCTCTGGCACTCAGGGCAAGGTCATGGGAAAGATTAATAACCTCTCAACAAGGCAGCCACATCTCCCATATGCAGACCATGGTGGCACCTCAGTGCTGGTGACACTCATATGTCCCACTTCCAACAGCACCAGTGCACATTCATGAGCCAGACCAATCTGAGACAATTACTGCTGTCACCAGGCTGAACACCTCGTGCCTCCTTACTTATGTTTTCTTCTTCCTCTACATGTGATCCCAAGTAGCTTCTTCCCAGCCTTGGAGCTCATTCTGAAAGGGGACCTTGGCTTGGAAACATCCCTGGAGTATTTTGTAGAAGCAAGAGATGGCACCTAAGGGCTGCCAGGATGAAGGTGGTCCAGCTTGGTGGAGACAGGACCTCATTTAATATTTGCTGGCCAACACAGCAGACAGGGGTCTGTACTGTGGTTTGGCAGAGAAGACAAGATCTTGCATGTTATGCAGCCTTTTTTCAGTGTTATCTTCCTGCTCCATGACGGACTTGAAAATGGGATAGGAGGGGGTTTATCTTTGCATCCCCTTTGCCTCCAAGGAGGGACAAGCCCACAATAAGTGCATCTGTGAATCTGCCTCCTCTGAAAGGAAATCAATATTTTTCCATCCACTTTCTGGTGGGACAGGATGTTGAACAGCAATCAGTGCTTTCACCCCCATTCATGGGCCTGGAGCCAGGGGAATTCCAAGACCACAGGGATTTCCAGGTCACACTGCATGAGCACAGGATAGGAGAGTCCCCCCCTGCATCAGAGGGGACCTCTGACCATGAGAGCAGAGATTAGTACTGGCCATGACATGTTACAATTCTGGTTTAAAAAAAACTTACTCCATCTGCTAAATGACTGTTTGATTTTTTTATGACTGCCTGTAAAACATGAAGCTGGGATCCAAAGCGCTTCTCTCCACCACGAGTGGCTTTCCTATAAGTCACTGGGCATTTCCCCAGGGACTGAGTTGTCTTTCCAGGCCATCACATGTGCAGTACAGCTGTGCTTCTCATATATGAGGGAGTTGGAACTGGATGTTCTTTATGGTCCCTTCCAGCCCAAACCATCCTGTGACTCTGTGATTTACATCCTGAGAGGAGTCACAACCACCAGGGCAATTCAGGTGATGAATAACCATCACCCCATGGAAGGATATAAAGAGAAAATATTTTGCCAGATACTGCATTTTTTCCTTAAATTTTCATTTTGTTCCTTCTGAGTTTTTAGCTTCTGGTGCCCACCCATCAAGAAGAAAGCCATTTATCCTGTCAACCAAAAATCAGTTCCTTTACAACAGCTGGATGAGTGCCCACCTCCACTGTCTTGCTTCCCACAGGGGCTTTCCTGAGGTGACACAAAACCATTGCTCCCTAGATGGACCCAACCTGATTTAGCAAAGAAACTCTGCAAAGCAAATGTTTGCCCCTGTGATGTCAAGGAGTTAAAAATCATGAGCTAAACCTCCAAATCCCAAGCTGAGGCATCCTCCAGACCCAACGTCCACATGTTGACCTAATTTTCTCAGATTAATAACCAAGAGTAAGAGCTGTTGGGAAGGCAAGAGTGCATTCACCTATGCCTTGACTACTTAAGGAGTGTGTGTGGTGCTGAAGTTCGGGTGTATGAATAGGGCCTTGCCAAAGATCACCCAGACTTCCCAAATTGTGGTACGTAGTGCACATGGATAGACCTAAACGTAGCCCTTGTGAAAGAGTCCATCAAGTAACCAACACATCCCATCCTCTTCTCCTCCCCGGTCTCCACTGCCCACAGATGACAATGGCATTACTGTGGGACTTCCAGAGGGCAGTAATTTATTATTAAAATGGTGGTTATTTGTAACAAAATGAGCCTTCATATGGAAAAGCCCAGGGAATTGCCCTAGCTGTGCCCTGGGGTGGCTGTGTGCTTAGGGACACCCTCCCCTCGCTGTGGGACCACAGCACTGCACATCATCTTCCAGAGTGACTTCAAAATTCAGTGACTTCAGTTTGCTTTTGCCCAGAGTCAAGAGTTCAAGAGTTTTGTTGTTCAAGGAGAAAGCAAGATTCTGTCCTTCTCCCACCCACCCTCCTTTTGGGAGTTCTTTTTCTTCACACAAAACGAGTGAGGATGCTGCTGGTAACCTCTGCATTGAAGGTATGTGTTATGTCCTGCCAGTCTGTGCCCTCATGCCTCTCCCATCTCAGAAACACACACCCACAGGCCAGGATGCTGCTTTCCTTATCCCTCAGGTGCTCAGCAGCAGAAGGTGTTAGGTGGGATGGAAAAGACCTGCAGGTGAAGGAAGAGCTGGAGGATCCCATGGCTGAAGCTTAAAAACACCCACACAACAACATGTGATTCTTTCATCCTAGTGATTCTGAGGGTTGGGGTTTTTTTTAAAAGTCTGGTGAGTTTCCTGAGTGGAGACAGAGCTGCATTGCTGTAATATCAGGCTTCTTCAAAACTGAACCCTACACACAGACCCCACACAGACCCATGTTTGCTGAAGGGTCTCACCTTCCCAATGACCCACGTGAAAGTACTCAACCCAGACACTCCTCACCACTCAGGGCAACTCAGAAGCAAGAAGAAAAGTGTCATAGCTTGAACTCATCTTTAGTTATCTGAGATTTTTTTCTCACTAAATCAAACAGAATGAAATGTCCTACCAGCATGGTCCATAATTCATGACTGTGTTGATTTCTCTCCCAGGCTGCAGTGACATCAGTAAATAACAAAAGACTGGATCCTGTCAAAGAAATCAAGGAGGAGATATCAGAGGTACAGGGCAAATGCTCTCCAAGGGACATGAAAACCACAGCAGCCTGTGAAAAACACATGGCATTTAACTCATAAAAAATGTGAGTTTAATGCAGATTTGTGTTTCTATATTGTAGCATCTGGAGTTTCCAACGAGTGTGACCACATCCTCCTTGAATTCAGCAAGTCTTTAGAACAGAACCACAAAGGAAGCACAGAAATTATTTATTTAGGGAGAAAGAAAAGCTTTTGTTTTCTGTTATTTTACCATTCTGACACAATCCTGCTTCTTCTGGGACCTGTGTTATGGAAGCAGATCATCCTTGTCCCAAAGGACATACCCCAGTCTTCCATCTTTAAGACACATCCCATTCTCCTGCCTTTGAGACAAGGTAATAATATTTTCCTAACACAATAATATTGTGTTATTATACTTCTAGAGCATCTAAATAATGTGCCAGAATAAGGAAACCAAGTCTCACCTGCTTTTTTCTCTTCAAGCTAGTGAGAGACCATGTCAAGGCATCCTTGGTTTTCCATCTCTCAGCCTCCAGCAGCACCTGTCAGCAGCCCATCTGTTGGAGAGAAAACCCATTTGGCTCTGTTCTGTAGTTATTTAAGGACAGGGACAACAAATGCTTACATCATTCAGGAGCCTGGGACCCGTGGGAAGCCATCAGGTTTTGATTGTTAACACACACCAAACTTGAGCATTGCCTGGTGGGACAAAGCTGGTGGGATATAAATGTGTTCCCATGATCCCATGGCCATGGTTTTTTTGACAAATCCAGAGCACACACTGCAGTATCCATGGTGACTGGCAGTCTGTCCATCCCACCAGTCAGCACAGACCCATTCCCAGGCACACCAGGACACATGAGTGCTCGTGCCTGGTGGAGAGGTTTGTGGAAGGCACTGCTTTGAGGATATGTTGATGTTCCTGGGTCACTACCTTAGCAAAAGCCTTGCTAAAAACAACGAGGCAGGATGTCACTGCATTGCCAGGGCATAACACAGCACCATTTCCACAGCTCCACTTCCCAGATGCCACCTCCAGCAGTGCCATGTAGGAACAGTGACCCCCCAGAAGTGGCCTTTCCCCTCAAGACAGGGTGGTGCAGATGAACACCAAGCCTTTGTGCTGGAGCTGGCTGTCAGGAACAGCAGATGGTGCAAGAGGAAGCATGGCCAGCAGGATCAGCCAGCTTTTTTTCTAGAGCATGATGAATCAAAGCCAGCAAGCTCCTGGCTCCTGTCCTGCATGGTGTCCAGTCCAGGAGAAGAGAGAGAACTGGTGGTGGATGGGTTGGGCCATGAATGTGGGAAGATCCCTGAAGGAGGGAGAGTGTTAAAAGTAGGAAAGTGAAGCTCAAAGGGTTGTGCTGAACTCACTCTAGACTGGGTGGGGCAGAAGACCAAAACATGAATCAGCTACTGAGCACTGACACGAGGATGGTCTTGGCCATTTAGAGTTGGCTGCCACTGCCTCTCCTCATCCCCAGTCAGTTCAGTACAGGCTGGACAGGATACACCTGGCAAAGGGCCTGCTGAAGTGGATGAAATCACTGTGTTATTGCAGCCTGAAACTTCCTACACCCCTTTCTGGAGTGGTAGCACCATTGATCATTTCCCAGGTGTGCCTTCTCCTCTCCCAGGTATCTACCCTCCTGGGAAGTGTAGGACAGCTGAAGGGGGTGCTTGGTTAGTGTCAATGAACACAAACCATTATATTGATTGTTGCTTCTGTACTGGAATCACTTCTGTTCTTCCCTGAAGGATATAAGAGCAAGAAGGGCTGGAGCAATGAACCAGAGCTGAGGAGAACCAAAACCACCAAGGGCTTCTGTGGCTCTCTCCCTGCTCCGTGGGAACCAGGAAGGATGAATCATGAGGCATGACAGTCCTCTTGGTCATGGGACTGTGAGATACCAGATGGCCCTGAATAAAGCGGTGTTCCAGGGAATCCCTGGCTATCCTCTGGAACAATACATCCAGCCTAACATCAGGCTCCAGAGACCTCTCTGTGGCAGGGACAGGACATCCCACTGGTGCCAGCATGACTCCCAGTGCCCTTGGCCTTGAGACAGATCATGGCTATATATTCCCCCAAGTTTCTAGGTGTACCCTGGAGGACATGGGTAGAGGTGGAGCAGCAGCCTCTTGGTTCTAGTCTCACCAGAGACCAGTGGAGAGGTGGCCAAGAGGGACAGACACCTGAACCCATGCAAGCCAGATAGCTCTGCCTGCTCCCAGTGGGAACTTGGAGAACATCAAGCAACAAGATCTCCCTGTGAGTTCTTTCCTATTTCTCCACTGTCCTATTTCTCCACAGGGGCTGACCCTGGCCCCTCACTCAGACTTACCAGCTCTACCTCATTTTTCTTTGTGTAGGTGAGCTGAGTTGCTCAGGAGTCCAAGTGTGTGGGATGCTCTTCCAGGGAGTTTCATAGAAAGGGAGCAGCAGTCCTGCCCTGAATATGAGAACTTTATCATGGCTGCTGGTTACAAGGAGTGGGGAAATATGGCAGTAGGTCAGGAAAGGTTGAGTGAATATCCAGTAGAAAGGGGCAAACCCCACCCAGTTTGCATGGAATGACAGAGTTGTCTAGAGATTTGGAGTACAGGGAGCAGAAAGATGGGTGGAGGGCTTGGGGGAGATGAGCCTGGATGAGCTGCAGGGTGCCCCAGCAAGGAGCTGAGCAGAGCAGCTGAGAGATCTTATGGTAGAAAATCTTTCAAACAACGCAAAATCTTTGGAAATAATAAAACAGCCACTTTATATCAGGTTAAATTTCTGGTTCTTGTAGCCCTGGCATTTAGATCTGGCCCTAAAACTCAAATTACTGCTCTGTTTGATGATGATGTTTTTCAGTGTCTTGAAAATCTCACATATATTCTCCAGTGTAATTGGTCTAAAACAAGTTTTCCTTGTTTTTCTGGTGCCAGTGTCAGTCAGAGCTCTTAGGTTTTGTAGCCTGCTTGTTTACACTGCTTCAAGCAAATCAGAGTCAAGCCCCTGGATGTTGTGGTGCCTTTCACCACATTCTTCCTTCTGCCTTTTTTTCCGTCTTTTCCACTCCATCCCTGACAGGGGAAGCACTGTTCTTTCCGTGCTCCTTGGTTCTGTTTGAGGCAGTCATAGAAAAAGTGACAATTAGGAAATAAAGGACCTACAGTATCTGCTTTGGCAGGCACAGCACATCCCACTGCTGTGCTGCTCCGAGTCAAACCAGCAGCTGCCTGCCTGGGTCAGATGGAGATATTGCTGCCTTATATTCTGGGATCTGCCTGAGATATCCTCGGGCACTGCCACGCTGCAGAGGGAGAGATAACCCAACGTTCAAGTCAAGCAATACACATTTGTAGCAGTCCTGCGAAAAGTAGTGAGATGGACTTAACGATCTTTATTATTATTTTTCACTGGGAGGGTGGTGAAACCCCAGCACAGGTTGCCCAGGGAAGCTGTGGATGCCCCATCCCTGGAAGTATTCAAGGACATGTTGGATGGGGCTTGGAGCAACCTGGGATAGTGGAAGGTGTCCCTGCTTATGGCAGAGGGGTTGGAACTGGATGATCTTTAAGGTCCCTTCCAACCCAAACCATTCTGTGATCCCTATGGGTCCCTTCCAACTTGAGATATTCTATGAGTTCAGGATGCTCAGTTCCAGTTCAGAAGATAATGGTGATTAGAAACAAATGACAAGGTTAGAAACTTATTATTTGGGAGATCAAGTAACTACCTGGGGCAGGGTAACACACATAAACTTCAGCCTTCCCAGACTATTGTGCTCCACCAAAATGATTAAAGGTTGCTAAGCAATGTCAGTGTATTCCCCCCAGACTGAAGGAATGTAATAGAAGCAAATGAGTTCACTGCAGTTGAACTGAACTTATATCAAGTCTAAATATATATAATTATTGCTAATGATGAATTCTGATCCTTAAAGCATTCCATGCAGATGAAAGATCTAATGAAAGCCAAGATCCTTATTTCATGTCATTCATAGTGCAGAAGCCTTCTGGATCAGCCAAGGTGGAAGCAACCCCTTCTCTGGGTCTTGTCTAGCCCTGATTTGGTGTCCAGAGCTGTTGCTAAATGCTGCCTGAAGCCCCCTTTTCCTTCCTTTCCGAATCCAGGGAAAATGAAACTAAATCTCCACACTAAATGATAAAACAGAAAATCTTATCAAAGCACAATTTTATGAAAGGCAAGGCAGATGAAGAGAGAGGGAAGAAAGAGAATAACATCCTCAACCATTAAACAAGTCTCATTTTCCCAAGGATCCAACACCATCACTTCTCCTTCCTTATTTTTATGAGGCAGCAACCAGCCCCTTCCTGTCAACACATCACCTTTGCTTTTGTGGGACCCTCCATCCCCTTGCCCAGGGGAGAGTGCTGGGTCTGAGGGTTCCCCTGGAGCTCTCTGCTAGTCCCTTCTGTCCCTGCTGGTCACCTCTCTCATCTCCACAGGACACTCTCTGGTGCCTCCATAGCACCACAAGTCTAGAGAGGACCCAAAATCAGCATTTGCCATGAAAGGGAGAATTTCCCAAACAGATTTTTGGGACTATAGTAGAGCGCCCAGAGAAGTCTGGAACTGCACACGGTGGTGACATAACAAACAAGAAGAGCAGAAGTCAGAGAATAAGAGATGAGGAGCTGAAATTGTCCCCTGTCACATCTCACAGGGACACAAAAAGGAGACTGAGGTGCACAGCAGAAAACTACCAGTAGCACAGGAACCAGCAGCATTTCTGGAGGTTCACCTACCTCCTCCAGGGGAGGAGCAGCCAACACTGGAGGCATTTAATAACACTGGGCTTGTGCAGCCAACTCTGTGCAGTTCATGCCTCCAGATTTCCTAGTATTTGTTCTCCTGCTCTGGGAAGAGTTGAGAGCTGCAACAGGCCCAACTCACAGGGATGTTTAGAGAAAGGAAAGCCCATTGTGTGAAAGACTTTGGTATTTCAGGGTTTGTTTTCCTTCTGACACAGAACAAAACACTACCATGTCAAAACCCTTGGTAAGGCAAAATAAACAAACAAAAAAACCAACAAAAAAACCCAACAAACAGTAGTGTTCAGTTTGCATTTTCTCTTCACCTTTGGGCTTTTCAATCTCAAGTCTCAAGATACCTACTATTGTAGCTAATTCATGAAAGGCAAAAAGAAAAAAGAAAAAAAAAAAAGCAAAATTCACACCAGAGCAGAAAGGGGGAGCCTTTCCCCGCGCCAGGGTCTGACCCTGCTGCAGTGGGTTTTCTCTGCAGTGGCACCGGGATCAAAGCAGCTCCCCTCCTCCTACCCTAGATGGGATGCGTAGCTACAAAGCAGCCTCCAAGTTTTAAGTGGGAAAACCAGGGAAAGGGCAGCGCAGCAACCCTGTACGACACCAGCAGAGCTGCTTTGCACCGTCTTTCCTCGAGCAGAGGGACTCGGGCAAAGCAGTCCAGAAATTTTAGAAAGCTTGGACGTAAGGGTTGGCTCCCAGCGACGAAACTGGGGGAAGGTCACTGCTCCGGGTGGTGTTTTGGGTCAGACCCTGCAAACTGCTTTCACACCGAGAGCTCCCAGCCCGGCTCTCCCTGGACGGCCTCGTGTCTCCCCTCACGTTTTCAGCCCCTGGGAGCCTGGTGAGTGCTGGTGCTCGGACGAGTCTCCCCCGCGGGGCAGTCCCGGGTGCCGATGCCTTCACCGGCGGCAGGGAGCAGCTCCACACCAGTTCTCTCTCCGTGAGCGCTGGCATCGAGCCCGGCCGCCTTTCACTGCTGCCTTTTCATTCGCCTTAATTCACTGCGTTTCCTTTCTTGCTGCTTGCGAGGAACAGAGGGAGAGCTTGTTCCAGCAGACGGGCCCCATCCGCTCCACCCGGCTCTTGCTGGAGCGAGGGCTGGAAAAGAGGGATGGAGGCGAAGGGGTATCTCCCACCCCTCCGGGGCCCCGCGTGCCGCCTGCGCGCCGCTTCCCAGCAAATACGGTAAGCGCTCGGCCTAAAAATGTAAGTCTGATCTCATGACACAGGGTGGCCCTGCATTCCTCACCTCTGACATAACCCGCTGGGAGTGTGCTCCGCGGAAAAACACAAACAAGATGTACTGGCGGGGCTGGCGGCGGGGGCCGGGCAGCTGGCAGATGTTCCGCAAGAGCCCCCGCGCAGCCCCCCGGGTGCCACAGCGCTGCTCCGGCACAGCCTGTACCCTCCCGGGCAGGGAGGGCGAAACCACAGCCCGTGCTGCGAGGGCAGAGCCGTCCCTGGCCCCCAGGGTGGGTGGGTGGGTGGGTGGGTGCCCCCGCCTCCCCCAGCCCTGTGCCCCGGGAAGGTGACGTGCTGTGGTTCAGTGTCACCCAGGGAGGCAGCTGGATTTGTTCCAACATCTCCCCTGGGATTTTTGCTCGGCGAATGCCTGAGGGCGTTTTTAAGGACTTGGAGGTGCTTTTGCAGGCGTTTGGTGGTTGTTGTTATTATTATTGGTTTTTTGCCTTGTTTTTTGTTTCTTCCCGCACCTGAGTCCTCCTGGGACGGGCTCTGCTCTGGGTTCTGCCGTGGCCACGGCTGGTGTGGCTGCTCCAGCATCAGCTCCCCATTCCCATTAGCCTCCCACTCCTAAGCAGCTCCACAGCGATCCCAAGGCCACGTTTGCTCAGGGTGCCTCATGCCCAGGTGCAAGCTGTGCCCCACAGAGCTTGGCACCCAAAGCCTTGGGTGTCACGGGGAGGTGATTCCTCCCTCCCAGAGCTTTGGGATTAAATGGTTTGTCAGGGATCACGTGGAGAATCCGAGTCCCGCTGTCGTAAACACGAGGCTGACTTTCCTCCCAGCCAAGCCCTCCTGCAAGCACAGCCTTGTCTTTGAGCAGGGGCAGATCCTGCTCGGTGCAGAGCTGCTCTCCCATCTCGGACACGCCGAACCACTTGTTTACTTTCTTCTGCAAATGCACTAAACCTTGACAACGACCTATTTTCCCTTCTGTTACGCAAAGCTCCTTTCCTAGAAAGAGGCTCTGTAACGCTCGGTCCAACCAGCCCCGCTCTCCTCCGTGTGTGTAAAAGCGAACTGTAAGTGCCTGGCAGGTTCAGTTTAGCTCCAGCACATCCAAAACCCACACGCAGATGAGTCAGGAGGCTCAGCAGACGCCACCTGAAACCATCCTGCGAGACAGCTGGCCCAGTTTGCAGAGGAATCAGATAAGCAATAGGTCAGCCTTCGAGTCCACTCCTCAAACTTTCTTTTCATTAGTGCTTTTCGTCTGTCTCCTCCTTCTCCAGTATTCAACAAAGCTAGGAGACAGCTTTTCTCCAGACATTTCTCCTCTGTTTCTGTCCATACCTTTCCCTGGCAGTGAAAATATCTGATTTTTTTTTTTAATTATTTTCACATTTTGAAAAAGGAAATTTTAAGAAAATAATTCTCCTCCTTCCTCCACAATACGTCCAAGTTTTCAAGATTGCTACTCCTCTGGCAGAGGATGGTTTGCAAGAGGAAACAAGACAAACAATGATAATGAGAAACAACAGTATCAAGAGGGGAGGAAAAATGTTTCAAATGTGCTTCTTCAGAGCACACAACGTTTGATCCCAGAGCAGAAGGACAGAGACTTTGCTCATGGGTCCAAGCCTCCTTTCAGCCACCCCTTCACCCTGGGGCTCTCCATCCTTTCCTTTTTCTCAAGGAGGTGCCCTGGGCCATGATCAAGCTGTTGGCAGCACAGAGTTATCTCCTCCTCCCCACACTGGTGGTCACACACAGCTTCTTCCACAATTTCTCCTCCATCTCTAATCCACAACCCAGGTTTTTAAGACAACACGAAGTCAGCGATGGTTTATTTTAACATGCCAGGCTGTAACCTGAAGCTGGAGATACAAATTCAGCCTAACAAGTTTCCCTTGGCCAGCTAAGAGCACAGGTTAGAGATTAATCCAACAGCAGCAGATGGTTTGGGCTGGACCCTTGCTGCTTCCCACGGCTGCTCCTTCCCGTCCCCTGGGTACCTGCAGCCTGGTTTGGCATCTATCCGTGCTCTTGCCTGGACAGACAAGCTGCTCTACAAAAAAACAAATGCAGAATTTGAAGCCTGATGTGCTGGGGACAGGGTCTGTTTGTGAATGGCTTGTGCTCCCACCAACACCTACACATGTGCGCACACACACACATTTTCCATCAGTTGGAATTATCAGACTTCAAATCACTGCCAGTGGCTCCTTATGTCTCTGTTGTCTTGTCCACGCAGGACAAGGATGATGGTGAGGACTCAGTTTAATCCAGAGAGGTTCTTAAGTGGGTTTTATCCCCAGTTTAAACCACTTTGAGATGATACAGTGAGTGCAGATACTGGGGCAGGTAACAGACCCCCTTGCTCTTTGGGAAGCCATAAGAATGGTCTTTAGAGGAGTGAGTGATCCATAAGTGACCTGATCTTCCCTGGATGTAAGACTTCAGGCTGAACCCTTGGATGGGTTCTTGTGCCCCAAAACCAGTAAATCTCCCTTCCTCTCTCTCTCTCTCTCTCTCCTTACCTGGCTGCCTGTTTGCACAAACCTTACAGGCTTCAGCACTTTGGGAATGCAAAGGTACCATCAAACGAGGCTGGAAATGATCACCCGGTTCACAAGCAGTGAACAGGAAGCAGACAGAGAAACAGTCTGGTCACATCTGCTTGTTTTCCTGCCAAAAATGCCAGAGATTGCTGGGATGGATGTTAAAAAGCCTCCCAAGGTGCTGATGAACACTTTGGGTATTCATACCTGGAACAGTCTATAGCAAACCTCAATTTTCCATGCTTTTACATCAACATGGGCACTGTGGAGGCAGCTAGAAAGTCAGCAGGAATAAAAGGCATGATTTTAGTTTACCTGAAGAGGTATAAATCAGGTGAGGAGGTGGTGGATGTTTCTTCCTGCTGTGGACCTGGAGAAGGTTTAATATCCTCCTGCGTGGCTGAGCAGAGCTGTCCTGCTCCTTTTCCCCAACACCTGACCAAGGCAGGGGGTCCCACACGTGACTGGAGGAGGTTTAATATCGTTGGAGGATGGAGCAGCCTAGAAGATGGGTTTGTAGGAATCTTTTTACCTATTCCAGCTGACTCATCTGGGGTGAGATGGGCTGTGCCCCAAAAGGGCCATCCCTGGCTGTAAAGGGAGCACAGGGAGATGAACCCAGGCACTGCAGCTGTGACCTGGTGAGGCATCAGACAGCACATGGCAGCACCCCTGAGCATCAGCCACTTCTGCAGGCTCCAAAAACCTGACAGAGTCACCTCCTGTGGTTACCATCCTTGTGGTCAGGAAGATGCAATAAGATCCTGGTATTTTTGCATAGAGATCCAGACGTCCTGCCTGGCTCCTAGTGGCAGGACACAAAGCTGCTTTCAGCATCCACCACTTTTCCTCCCTGAAATTCTCTCCTGAAAAATAACATGATGCCTGCTTCAACTGTATATGCCCTGCTTGGAAAACCCCTCGAATAAAGGGCTCTTGACTGGAGCTGTTCTCTGAGCAGCAGTAGCCCTGCAAATAATTTTCCCAGGTTTTCAGGCAAGTTCTGAATGTGGCATAAGGCTGAGATGATCTGAAATGCAAGTGGTCTTCAAGAGAGCGCTATCTAGTCATGGTATTGTATTTTTAGCCTGCTGCTAAATGCACACTGAATGCAAACAAGTAAGGAGCTGGCTGGTGGGCTGATGTCTGTGCTTGCTTATACAGGGATTATTGGGCACCTGGGATTTTCAGTGGCACTACACTGTTAGGGCTAACAGATAGTGAGTGTCTTTGGGGATCTCGGCTGTGAGCAGAATCAAGCCCCTGAGCCCCCAGGCATGGACTGCTTCAGTGTTCCCATCGTGCTGAAACAAAGCACCTCCACAGCCAGTCAGCTGTGCCTCAGCAGGGTCTGTTTTCTGTAGCTGATGTGCTATATTGGGTACTTTGGCCCATAATGATGAACAGTCAGTCCCAGCATCCCCTCTTCTGCAGAGACAGAAGATAAAAAAGTTGGATGCTCTGAACAGAGCGAGGCTGGGATGTTGGCAGGTACCTTTACCACGGAGGCAGCACTAATATATTTCCAGTTTCATTAGTTTTCTCCATTTTAAAACTGACACCCTTGGAAGCAGCAATGAGGGGAACTCCAATGTCAGAATTAAAAATAAAATAAATAAATAAATAAAAAAAATCAACAAGAAAAAAGCTGCTTTAGAGCACCCAGAAGTCACAGCAACCATGGGGAAATAAACCGTGTCCCAGAGTTATTATCTGGCTGTAATTCCGTGCACAGCTACAGGATAAACAGCCTGTTCCTGGAAGTGCTCTTTCCATGGTTGCAACTGTGGGCTTAGATTTAAGGTCAGATTACCTGATTTAGCAAATTGAAGAGTGTCAGCTGATCCACAGTAACTACCCAAGTTCATGCAGCAGAAGTGCTGTGCCTCCCAACCTTCTCCGTCAGTGTCTGAAACCAATCTCCCCTAAACCAGTAATTCCCAAACCCCAATGCCTGGGCTGTGATTCAGCAACATAAGGAGCATCCCAAAAGACAGCCCCTAAAATATTCAGGCACAAGCTAAAAGCTATGCTTTGTGTCCATACATGAAAGTTCCTTTTTCAAGGCTTTCAAAATTTCAGCACTTGAAATTTCCTTTCACCTTCACTTCTGACTAAAGGGTGGAAGTAAGAAAGCACAGCTCTGTCTCCAGTCACCACTGGACAGAAAAGTCCCACTACTGTCTCCTTCATCAGACAGGAAGGACCTTCAGAGTGATGTTGGAAGGTCACATATTTCATTGCTGTCTTGTTTTCCATGGAACTGCAGGCTGCTGCTTCCCAAGGCAGAGGATCCAGCCCCTCTGGGCTCACTTAGGAAATGTCACTGACTTGCTGCCATCCTCCAGTTGCTCTGATGAGGAGAAGTCAGTCGCCAAGATTCTGGTCCTCAATTCCACTGGTGTGTTTGGGAATCTGTTCAGCTTTCCTCTAGATCCAGCGTGGCTTCATGAGCCCAGGAGGATAATACTGGCCTAGTAAAAGTCTGCCATTTTTAATTCTGCACTCTGATTTCCTCTTTCTAAACCCAAATGTGCCCAAAATTGGGCGTTCTTTTCCCTGCTTTTCTTCTCCCTGAGTTTCTCAGAGCAGTAGGCATACAGCAGTGCGTGTGGGATTTAATGAGGTTTGTGCTGTTAGTTGATCCAGGAAATGACTGATGTGGATAGCAAGGCAATTTCCAAGATCTGCAGTGAGAACTGTATGGCCAGTATCATTGTGTTCAAATAATAATTTGGTTTCTAATACCTTTACAGGGTGCTAAAACACTACCCCAGCCATTGGAAGATCAGGGGTTTGTGACATGGAGGAGGAAACCTGGAGCCAGTAACACTGAGATCATCAGCTGGATTGTGCCAGATGTGACAGAGGAGGCTGGAAAACCTCAGGTAACCACTTGAACCACATTCAACCAACTTCCTGTGGAATCTGATAAAGCCTTAAACACCGGTGGGGCTGGGAACTGCTGTGAGCAGTGTAATCCAGAACCATGACGGACCCCAGGGTGCTCTGCAGCCAGTGGGGAGCTGCAGGACCCCCCTCAAACCACCCTTAGATGGTGTTTTTATTTCTTCCCACTGATGAGGTACAGAACAAGGGGTCTGGCAGCTCTGGAAATGCAAAATTCCTGACGTAACCGTGGGTTTCATGATAACAGTAGGTGCCGAGTCCATAGCAAGCCCCATCGATGGCAGTTTGGGGAGAGCCCTTGGTTTTGCAGTGCTGTGTCTGGTGGGCAGATTTCTCCCAGCCCTACATGGTGACCAGTTCTCCCTGATGTTTGCAGCTGGAAAACTGCAAAGAAAAAATTTGGGGCTATGGCACCTTCCCTTAACATCATCTGGAGACGCTCAGGGGAGCAGCCTGAGGGAAGCCAGGTACCTGTCAAAGAGGAGAAGGCCATTGGAGAGGCTACATGCAAGAAAGCTGCAAGTGTTCCACTTAAAGGTGTACTGGATATAAGTGCACTGAAGGGCTGTACAGATCTCCCTTTCCATCTCTGCTGGAATTGAAGGGAGCAATAATTTTACTATTAGTTCTGAAAAGCATCACACGGAGGTTTTCCCTACTAAGGGCAAAAGTTGGAGAGGGTCCCCAGGGTATTGTGACTTCCCTAATGCCTCCTGCCTGGCTGAGCAGAGCTGTCCTGCTCCTTTCCCCCAACCCCTGACCAAGGCAGGGGGTCTCACACATGACAGATTTCTCCCAGCCCTACATGGTGGCAAGTTCTCCCTGTTTGCAGCTGTAAAAAAAAGAGTCCCATAGTGCAGTATCTTAACCCATTTACTACGAAATAAGACAATTAAGGACCAGAAACACTTCCTAACAAAGTGCTACAGAGACATGATGATGCTGTTTGTTCTCTCTGGACTTGAGCCCAGGGCCTGTGACCAGACCTGTCGTACCCCCACACCTTCAAAGCCAGATCTGGGCTGTGTTCTTGCTCTCCTATCACAGGGTGAGAGCTTTCCTGGAGCCGCCAGAAGAGCCCAAACACTTTCTTCTGTAATCTGTCATGCCTGTCAGGATGCCAAGAGACACGCCAGACCTGGACCCTGGGCCAGAACAGCTATGTAGACATGCCCAGAAAGGAGAGCTGGCACAAGGTGTTGTATAAAGTGAGATATGTGGAGCTGCAGGCAAATAGTTTGGTAATTGCATGGGTAGGTTAGGCTTGGCACAGGGCAGAGCATGTCTGCTCAATGAGAAAGGAAGAGGCAAAACAGCTTGGAAAAGGTGTGGAGCCTGTTTTAGTGGGAGCTCAGGAGAGCTTCAAGGGGTTAAGCAATAATAACTGCCCGAGAAGGGTTGAGGTGAAGCACTCAGTAATATCCAAACGAGGCCACAAACACCCTTACAGCAGGGTTTTCCCAGGGGAAAAAAAAAAAATCACATTCCTGATAATTAATCCCATTTCATGAAACGGTTCATGAGAGACAGGAGGGGGGAGTGTGCACCTTGCTCATTGTTTGTGCAGGGGGATATATTCCCTAAGAGCTCGTTACTGGTGCTCAAGGCCATCCAGGCCCCTGATGAGCATCTTTGATCAAAGTCTTTCCAAGCCGATCTATTTTCAGCCCAACCCACTCAATACCTTGATTGCCATACAGCTCTTTTAGCTGCTCTTAGGTAAACATGCTGTCTTCTCCTTGGCATTTTGCCTTGCTAAGCCCAAAAATACAAGTGGCACAGAAAATGAGAGAAGCTGCTCTCCTTCGCCAGGAAAAATGATGCTATTTCTGAAATAAGCTGGTTTTAAGACACCTCACTGGCCATGCATGGATGTATTTATTTATAAATATACTCGAACTGGAGGTCCAGCTGTTGGATGCCTATACAGAGACAGGATCAGAGAGAGAGAATTTATGTACATATAAACCCTGACACACCTTCAGTCCAGTTGCTGTCTGCATATAGAATCTTGGTTATGCTGAGGTATCAGGGTCTGACTCCCATTAAGGAGGGTTCATGTGAACTGGTCCAAGCTCAAACCAGTGGGTTACGGTCTGTTCTGGAGAGCTGCCACTGCTGTGCTGTGCTTAGGGAGGGCAACAACCAAGATTCCCATGCTGGGAATTGCTTTGCACCCCCTGGTGGAGCTGGAAGTCAGATCAGACACTCTGGGGACCCCTTGGAGCTCAGACCCACAGCTGGTGGCAGCGCACAGCAGGTTGGTGCTTGTCTGTTTGCTCACATCCTTGGTTCTCTGTGGGCTGAGGTGGGCCTCACATGAGATGCAGCACTGCACAGGACACATTTCACAAGTCCTCCCTCAGTCAGCATCCCTGGGACTGAGCCACAGCCTTGAGCAGATCCAAATCACAGCTCAGTCCACTGCAGATCTTATTTTTGAGGAATGACAGTGACACTGGCCAGAGCTTGAAGTCATGTTTTCAGCTTTCCCCTTGGAAAGTAAACACAAAGAAGTCAACAGCAGATGGAGCATCACATGGAGTTACACAGGTCAGCACAGACTGCAGAGAAGCCCTGAGTCTGAAGAAGAAATAATTTGGAGGGGGGAGCAGCTGGGAGATTATTCTGAGGGATTGAGAAAGAAAGCAAAAAAATACTGGCTGAGCCTCCCCTGTGTTAGAGCAGCTGAAAGCCTTGGGTTTGTGGAAGAAGGCAAAGATGGGCAGATAACTAAGCACTGACAGCTCCTGGGTAGGACAGTTGTGGGGTTTTTTTGAGACTAGAGTATGCAAGCAAAAAAGGTGTTAAAGTGATCATGAAACAGGCAGGAGTAAAGCAGGCAAATGCAAAACAAAACTAGATTGTGTGTGTCAGGAGCAGGTTGAAGCAATGCGACAGAGAAGGAGAGCTTTTCAGTAGTTCAGAGAGCACTGTGGGGAGTCTGGGTGAGAAATGAGGGATTCAGGTGAGTGGAGTGCTGCAATAATGGGCTGCAGTGTGGAGGAAGATGGAAGGGAGGACAGGGAGCAGAGGACACCTATTAATAAAAAAATCCACATTTCATTTAAGATTTATTGATACCTCAGAGCCAGAGAGCCTTCCATGCCTTTGCATCTTTGAGCTGACATTACCCAAGAGTGGGCAGCGTCAGGGTTGAAGTGGAGAAGAGCTCTGGACGTTAATTTGCAGAAATAAAAAGATTTTGGTTAACAGAGATCTCAGCCTGAGAAGCCTGTGCTTCAACAGCAGAACAGCATTAGTGTTTCTGAAAACACAGCTGGTCATTGCTGAACATGCACTATCACGCATCAAAAATGCAATCACTCAGCTGGGGAACTCAGGATGGTGGCTGTGGATTAATTCAGCGCTGGACAAAAAAATTGATGGTTGCCTTGGGACCAGTGTTTGCTACCCAGTGACATTCAAAGAAAGGACAGTCCCATCTGGTCATGGGGAGAGCAGTGACAGTGCAAAAAGATAAAGTGATCACAGCGGACAAAGAGCAGGCCATGAACTCGCCCCAAAGGAGGGTCAGGAGGGACTGGTTTTGTCGTGGAGGGTGAAGGGCTGAGTCAATATGGGAAGAGATGTGAGGGTAAAGTTGTTTCCACACAGGGTGTTAATGAAACAGGTACTGAGAAGTTCCCGTTAGAAACAATGCTGGGAAGCTGGGCACGGTGAGTCACCAAAATAATGTGATAATAAATGTCACAATAAATATTTAGCACAGGGAGAGGGCTAACAAACAAAAGCTAAAATTGGGAGTGGACTTCATTACAGCTGGGGATTGCTTCCGAGGGAGAGGATAAACGATGCAGGGCCACCTGATCTGTGGGAGAAAAATAGCAGAGTGTGGAGAGCAGGTCCAAGTGAATTTGTCTTCCAAAGGAGGCAGCTTTTTTAACATCGATGCCGACAAATTATCAGGATACAGTTAAAGGACAGCAGTATGTATTCCCCCACACCAAACCTTGTGTGCAGCCAGCAGACACCCTGGCAGGCCATGAGGGGAAAGAGGCACCTTGGAGGCACTGTATGTAACTCGTTTGGTCCATTTTGGATTTCTGCTGGAAAATGGGACAGGTGGTTCCTGGTCCCCATCAGGAATTCAACAGATTTAAGCAGATGAACAGAGCATCTGATACTTTCAAATCAATGCTGCTCACGTGACAAATGGAGCTTTAAGCCAGAAGATGGGCTCCCAGAGGGGGAACTGGTGTCTTTAATAGCCTGTGAATGGTCAGAGTTGGGGATTTTCCCAGCTCTGCCCATGCATCCCCACTCATGCTGGTGAGACAATGCGCCAGAGGTGCTGCCAGGCAATTTACCTATCGGCAGCTTTTCATGCTGAGCAAATATTTGTCTTACCACGGCTTTAACGTGCCCATCTCGGTGACAGCTAAATGTCAACCACGAAATAAAGCAGTGCCACGAGGGAGAGACCACACGCTGCTCGTGTGGCTCCGGGTTTTATTGGAGCATCGGGAGCGAAGTCCGGCTGTGAAGCAACATAAAGAAACCCTCTATTCCCAAAGGTGGCATTTGATGGGAACTTGGGGCATCTTGGCCTACTGAGGCTGTTTTTGAAGTCCGTGGAGCCTTAGCATTGGGTCTGCTGATGAATAAATGATCTCTGAGAGCAACCCCCTCTCCCTCCCGTTCCCAGGGCTCGGTTGTTTCTGACACCGATTTGCTCTCGGGTGTTTGCAGCCAAGTTTCTCGTCCGGTGACGGCGTGTTCCCCCTCCGGAAGGGGCTGCGGGGAGCCACAGCTCCGCGGCCTCTGTGACATTTGGAGTGACCGGGAGGTCACTGGGACGGAAGAAAACAAAAGCAGCGGCGGCCACGGAGCGGCCCCGCAGAGGGGAAAGCACGACCAGGGTATTTAAGACCTGCATTTTGCTTCACACCACATTCCTTCTACCTTCTATAAAATATATATTTTTTTTAATCACTGGTGAATCTTTTTTCTCCTTTTCTCATTTCTCCCTTTCTCATTTCTTTTTCTCCCCTCCCTTCCCTTCCCCTCCCCTCCCCTTCCCAAACCTTCCCTTCCCTTCCCAAACCTTCCCTTTCCTTTTCCCTCTCCTTTCCTTCCCTTCCCGTTTCCCTCTCCTTTCCTTTTCCCTCTCCTTTCCTTCCCTTCCCGTTTCCCTCTCCTTTCCTTTTCCCTCTTCTTTCCTTTTCCCTCTCCTTTCCCTTCTCCCCTCCCCTCCCCTCCCTTCCCCTTTTTCCTCTCTTTACTTTTCTCCTCCCCAGTCCTCTTCTTTCTTCTCTCTCTCTCCCAGGTGCAAACTCAGGGCTGTGAGGGCTCTGGCTTCACAGTCCTGGCCATGAGCCATGGATGGAGGAGCGGGACAGCAGTAGGGAGGGCTGACCTTGCAGCACGGAGGGAAGTGTCTGCCAGCTCCAGTTTGGTGGCAGAGTTTGTGTTACAGCAAGGAGGGACAGAGGCAGCTCTGGGAAAGGGCTGAGGAGGGGTGGGCAGCGGAGAAAAATAAAATGACAAAGAGTTTGAGAGCAATGCAGCAGGGCTCAGATCTCTTGTGCACCTGCCTCTGTCTCAGCTGTGTTTAAAGTCTCCGTTTCTCAAGCAATTGTAACTCTCCGGCAAGAGGAAGGAAGGAGAATCCATGGAGATGATCTGGGACATCCCCAGAATAAAGCCAGATTCTGCTGGAAAAGCCTGTAAAAAGCCAGCTCTGTAAAGGACCCAGATCCTGCTGTAGCATCCTCAGGGTTATATGTGTGCTGAGCTGAAGCATGTCCAGAGAAAGGAAACAGAGCTGGGAAAAGGTCTGGAGCACAGGTCAGATAAGGAGCAGCTGAGGGAGCTGGGGAGGCTCAGCCTGGAGAAAAGGAAGCTCAGAGGAGACCTTATCACTTTCTACAACTCCCTGAAAGGAGACTGTAGCCAGGTGGGGGTCAGTCTCTTCTCCCAGGTAACAAACAATAGGACCAGAGGAAATGGGCTCAAGCAGTTCCTGGGGAGGTTTAGATTGGATATTAAGAACTACTGCTTCACAGAAAGGGTTTTCAAGTCCTGGAAAAGCTGGCAGCCCATGGCTTGGACAGGGGCACTCTGTGCTGGGTCAGGAACTGGCTCAAGGACCGGGCCCAGAGAGTGCTGGTGAACGGGGCTGCATCCAGTTGGCGGCCGGTCACCAGTGGTGTTCCCCAGGGGTCTGTGTTGGGTCCAGTCCTGTTTAACATCTTTATCGATGATTTAGATGAGGGGATTGAGTCCATCATCAGCAAATTTGCTGATGACACCAAATTGGGAGGGAGTGTCGACCTGCTGGAAGGCAGGAGGGCTCTGCAGAGGGATCTGGATAGACTGGAGAGATGGGCTGACTCCAATGGAATGAAGTTCAACAAGGCCAAGTGCCGGGTCCTGTACTTTGGCCACAACAACCCCCTGCAGCGCTATAGGCTGGGCACAGAGTGGCTGGAGAGCAGCCAGGCGGAAAAGGACCTGGGGGTGCTGATCGACAGGAGGCTGAACATGAGCCAGCAGTGTGCCCAGGTGGCCAAGAAGGCCAATGGCATCCTGGCCTGCATCAAGAACAGTGTGGCCAGCAGGAGTAGGGAAGTGATCCTTCCCCTGTACTCTGCATTGGTGAGGCCACACCTTGAGTATTGTGTTCAGCTCTGGGCCCCTCAGTTCAGGAGGGATATTGAGGTGCTGGAGCGGGTCCAGAGAAAAGCAACGAGGCTGGTGAAGGGACTGGAGCACAAGTCCTATGAGGAGAGGCTGAGGGAGCTGGGGTTGTTCAATCTGGAGAAGAGAAGGCTTAGAGGCGACCTCATCACTCTCTTCAACTACCTGAAGGGAGGTTATAGCCAGGTGGGGGTTGGTCTCTTCTCCCAGGCAACCAACAATAGGACAAGGGGACATGGGCTCAAGCTCTGCCAGGGGAGGTTTAGGTTAGATGTTAGGAAGAAATTCTTTACAGAGAGGGTTATCAGGCATTGGAACGGCCTACCCAGAGAGGTGGTGGATTCACCATCCCTGGAGGTTTTTAAAAAGAGATTGGACGTGGCCCTTAGTGCCATGATATAGTAATTGGAGTTGGATCAGGGGTTGGACTTGATGATCTTGGAGGTCTTTTCCAACCCAATCTATTCTATGATTCTATGATTCTATGATAGGCTGCCCAGGCAAGTGGTGGAGTCACCATCCCTGGAGATATTTAAAATACATGAATATGTGGCACTTGGGCACACAGTTTAATGGGGACATGTTTAGTATATATGGAAACATAGTTTAATGGTAGACTTGACAGTGATGGGTTAATGGCTGGACTTGATGGTCCTTTCCGATCTAATTGGTTCTATGATATTCAAGTCTGGAGAAAGATATTCAGGATGGACTGAATTCATTCTGTTCTTCACTTGCCACATTCTCTTCATCACCCTTAATGTAATATGTATGAGGATCCTGGTGAGCTCATTGACTTGTGCTCATAGGACCAGGAATAAATGAGGTTGGAAGGGACCTCAGGAGGTCACCAAGCCAAATCTTCTGCCAAGAGCAGGAATCAGGAATAACTAGGCACTCGTTGTTAGGCTTCCCCTCTCAGCTGGCAAGAACCACTGCATAAATATTCCCTTTATTAACCATTTGAATCTGCTATTTCAGGCTGTACCTAGACCTGTACAGGCAGATTGTGGCCCTGACAACTTTCAGGCTGCTGTGCTTGGATGACTTCAAGAAAGGACTCTATCATCACCCCTCTTGTATTAGTGCTTTGCCACATCTCACACCAGCCTGCTCAATTTGGTGACTTCCCCATCCTCACTGCCTCTGCTCCTCCCCTCTTCATGCTGCCCTCAAGCTCCCTCTCAGGGCTGAGGATTGTTCACTCTCCCTGGACTCCTAATTCAAGTCTTTCTCCTCCTGTCATGGGCCAACTCCTCCTCAGCTTCTGCTTTGGTTTAAAAATGGTTTTAAAATATTTCCAAGTATATACAATGTGTATGCAACATCCTTTGAGTCAGAATGTTGTTTATTCTTGCAGCCTTTGTCCACGTCACCTTCCTTTGCCTCCCCTTAGGCTTTCTTCCTGTGCCATGCTTTACCTTGGAAAGGGCTCTTCTTTGCACCTGCTCAAAGTAAGGGGAGGGGGGAAAGAGCTTTGGTAGGGTTTACTTTTGCTTTTTTCTCCAAAGTATTTGGAAATGTTGTTGGTGGTTGTTCTTTAAAACTTTAATGGTGAATTTCAATACTGAAGCTTTCCATCTTGGTAATGGGGCTTTTGCCAGAAAACAAAAGAAAGGGGTGGGAAGCCTCAAGGAGCAGTTAAATTTAGTTTTCCAACTCCGTTGCATAAAGAAACCCAGACAGCTTTTACCAAGATTTGCTCTTGCAGAAAGACAATTTGTTTGTGATTTTCAGGGCCTGTTTTTACTTTAGATGAAGACTAATAAAAGCAAAGTTTTTGCTACACCACAGTGTGTTTATCTTTTCCACTCCAGGCCGGAGGACACACTCCAACCCGGAGGACAAGGAGCCACATGCAGATCTGCTCCTTAGCAGTAAAGCAAGGTATTGCTTTAGCACCTGCAGTACTCTGGATTCAAGTGCAGACTCCACATGTTCCTTTGCTGAGTCAAAGGAAGAGGACAGGCTGCCAGGAAGGGAACAGACCCACAACAGTGGAGAGAGAAAACAGAGTTCAGGGCTTGGAGCTCCAAACTTGTCGACCCAGCACCTTACTCCTGGTTCTTGGGCTTGTGTGAGGATGTTCTTCACAATGCCTGATCCTTCCCTGTGCTGTACATCGAAAGACTCTGGATTAGCCCCATAGTCCCCTGCAAAACCACCCAGGAGAGGCTTGCTGTTGCTGAACCCCTGCCAGGAGCAGACGGATAATTATGGACATTGCCCTGAGGCACATGAAGTTCGCCATGTCTCCAGCTCTTGAAATCTTAACTGTGCTCTTTCTGGGAGGTCACTTAAGCTGTGGTTTCACAGGAATCTCATGGAATCACAGAAAACAGGATGCCTAAAGTGATCCTAGAAGTAGCTGTACCCCCACCTCTCTCGGAGGGCAGTGAAACGGAGTGAGCAAAGGGAAGATCAGGGATGTTCATCACTAGAGGTTTTGAAGGATAAGGAGGAGAAATGTCCATCAGGAGTGACACAGGTTGAGTCATCCTGCACAAGGACAGAAACTGAGTCCTGCCCAGTCCTGCCTCTGCAGAATCCAAAGGGCTCTATGTGAGCTCCTTCCCATGATGGTCAGTGGGGACCTTGGCAGTATCCAGGGCCCCACGCATAGGCATTGAGGTCTGTTGGAGGTGACATCAGGGATCCTGCTCCTACTCCACAATGTACATCCCCCTCTGGCCTCAGGGGACACTTGTCTCAGCCCAACAAGATGACCCAGCCAACACCAGGGTGCCAGGAGCTGTGGAGGAGCTTCCTGACCTGTGGCTCCCAGAGAGATAATCTGGACAAGATAACACAACCCAACAGCTCCTGTCCAGAGGGAGATGGGAAACAGAATGTAGCAGAAGAGGAGCCCAGGAGGAAAGCCCACCCAAGAACCACAGGCTAGGGCACCCATAATAAACATAATAAACCCAAAATAAACAGGGGAGTAGCTGGAGAAGCAGCACCCTTAGATATGGCAGTCCAGCTGTGTGTCACCTCCAACAGCATCCTGCAACACACAGATGGCCTGACCCAAAGCCCTTTGGTGCAAATAAGGAAGAGCTTTGCTGCCAGGAACAACCTGGATGGGGTGCAACCAGGGAGAAGGGCGAGGAGCGTTGTGCAACCCTCTGCCAAGCATTTCTCTGGGAGAAAATAAATGCCAAGAGCCACTTGTTCCCTCCCCTGTTCCCATCCCCTCCTTCAGGGAGATGTGCCCCAAGGGGAAGATCTGAACAGTTTTGTATTCTGGGGGGGAGGCTGGACCCAGGGTCAAGGCTGTGTGATGGCTGTGCTGAGGACACAGCACGTGACAAGGTTCAATTAAAACATTTCACAGGCATAAGGCTGACCTATTCACAGACAAATCGGTCTTATAAATAAAATAAATGTGTGCAGGACAAACAGTGAGACTGTCAACCCCACAACCCCTGCCTGGAGCGCTGGGAAATATTTTATTGGGATATAAAGTCTTAAATGCCATTCTCCATGCATGGATGGGGGCTGTGTGGCTCTTCATCAGCGAGCCCCACTGCCTGCTCCTGCATTTTGATTCACGGCTGAGTGGGAACCTTCAATTCCCTCTGGTGGCTTTGCAGAGCGTGATTGACACCCCGCAGGTCAGAGTCTGACTTCAGCTCCCTGGTGCCCAGAAACACGGAGAGCAGAGCTCAGGGCCACAGGGACATCACTGAGAGGAGCCCTGTTCTCTCCAGGCCAGGCTGGAAGTGCTCTGGTACTTCCCACACCCCCAACCACACCATCTCCGTTCCGCTGATGCCGTTAGCATGGGGGCAGAGGGGACAAACCCTTCCCAGTCACTTTTTTCTCCAGTTCCATCCTTATATCCTTCCCTCCTTGGCCAGAATCAGAAAAAAACAAAACCAAAAACAACAACAACAACAAAAAAAATCAATCAAACAAAACAACAACAAAAATAAAAACACAAACAAAAAACAGAACAACAAACTGAATTCCCATCTTTTCCCCATTGAGTCGATTCACCCTGCAAAGGGCCCTTTCTGAGGAGGTGGGGATTGGGGGTGTTCAGCAGAGTCAGCCCCAACCTCCTGAAACCCCAGCATAGACCACGTGGGTGTAAAAGCAGCTCTGCTGATGCCTCCAACCCCTGTAGACGTTTAATGGCACTTGTACCGGTGCTAATTACATCTTAACATTTTCCCTCTGTATTTTGGTATTTATTTTGGAAAAGCTCCTCCCTGGACTCATTTTCTTCCTCAGCTTTAAAACAATAACACCACCACGCTTGCTTTTCCCTTGGCTGTTTCCCTCATTATTTTAACTCTGCCATTCTGCTCCTGTACAGTCAGCAGAGGAGTTCAATCAGGCTGATGAGTAAAAGTGCATAATTTTATGGCTGCATATCAACTGCCTGTTATTAAACTAATCAATCAGCTTCAGTGCAGCTACCAGTACAGCATGGGAGAGGACAAGGCAGAGGAAATGCTATGCCGTTATTTTTCCAAAAGGAAAAAAAAAATAATATATATAATCTGGCCAACCACATCCTTCAGCTTGTCCTTCTCTGCAGGGAGAAATGACTCCAGTGAGTTATGGAGTAGGTGACCTGCAGGAAGCCAGTGAGAAGTTTGCAGTGTCCTTCTGCTCGCCCCCCAGTGCCAAGCCAAAATGCTCAGCAATTCTCATGCTCCAAAAGACCAGGAAAGTCATCAGCTGCTCCCCCATCCCATCTTGCAGTATCCCACTGCAGGTGCCTCCCACCTCCTCCAGCAAAGCATTTAGGCATAGGTTAAGTAAATCCCATTGAAGACAGCAAGATCATTACCTGAGCCCATTCTTTTGGCCTTAGGGTCAGCAGTCATGGAAGAAGTTAGAGAGCTGATTTCCAGTGGTCTTACTCCCAGCAGTTGTCTCCCCTGATGGTCCTAGTGAGACTTCTGGGTGGCAGAAGGAAGGAAAGGATGCATAAACCTCCTTTTCCGTAAATAATTAGACTCTTTCACACTTGCACTACCAGAAAATGTAGAAATGACTTCCCCATCTTGTTTGGGGCACAGCACACAGGCCAAGGTCTGCATCTGAAAGGCTGCTGAGGGCACCAAGGGACAGTCCATGTCCCTGAGGGGCAGCACAACAAAGGGACAAGCTACATTGCACCAAGAGAAATCTGGACAACATATCAGGCAAAGCTTCCTGCTGAAGCAGGGTGAGCAGGCACAGGGACACATTCCCAGGAGGTTGTGGAGATCTCCTAGAGCAAGCCCTAGATGTTGCTACTTCTACAGCAACATCTGCTCAGGCTGGACCTGGTGAGGTTCTGCTTGAAGCCACAGATGGGAGTGATGGTCTTGGGGGTCCCTTGCAGCTCTGAGTCCATGGCAAAGACCAACCCACCTTCCCTTGACCTCTGAGAGAAGAAGGAGATGATGTAACAGGGCTTTGAACCTCAGAGCAAGTCAATGGGATCTTCTGTGTTGATAAACAAGAGTGAAGAAAGAGGGAGGGAGGGAGGAAAGGGAGGGAGAGAGGGAGGGAGGAAGGAAGGAGGGGAGGGAGGGAAGAAAGGGAAGGAAGAAAGGAAGGGAAGGAGGGAGGGAGGACAAAGACATGGAGATCACTTGCCAGTTAGTCCCTCTTCCAACTTGCAGCTGTGCTTCCCTCTCTCAGCGATGTTCCCTCCATCTCCTACACAAAAAGAGTCAAGTTGCACAAAACAGAGCAGGCAAAGCTCTCTGTGCTGTACCTTCTAAATTCTGTGAATCTTTAGCCTGGATGTGCATCCCCAGACCCACAGGGGAAAGGGAAAGGGAAAGAAAGGAAAGATGTCCTCAGCCAGCCTGAGCATCCTTCCCCAGTTAATTGTATTCACTTATACAGATTAAATTGCACTGTCTCCTTCTTGGGTCGTTATTTATCACCGGTTTTACTGTCGCATCCACAGGTGCAGCCTCTCTGTGCCGGGCACTGCGGAGCACACAAATAAACACGGTCCTTGTGCTGGAACTCGCCGCCCCGGCTGACCGGCAGTAACTCGGCGTGGACCCGACCCAAAGGCTCTTTCCCGGGCAGGGAAAGCAGCCCTGCGAGCCCCCGCGCCGTCCCGCTGGCCGGGGCTTGGCAGCGGGGGCTGCGGGCTGACAGCTGACGTCCTCCCCAGCCCGTTTCCTCCCGCCGCTGCCAAGCCACTCGCAGAGCACTTCTCGAAATGAATTTTCTGGAAAACAAATTAAAGGAGGGGTTACATCACGCAGCAGACAGCCCAGCCGGCACCGGGCTGCGCTGACAGACCCTGCCTGTGTTTTTTGGGCTGCGCCACATTGCTCGCAGCTGCTGCTGGAATCCGCAGCTCGCCATCTAAATCTGCTGTAACCATGAAGTGATCAAAGCGGCCCGATGTTATTGTCTGCTCTCTGATGGACGGAGCGGGGCAGGGTCTCCCGGAAACCTCCGCTTACTTCGTTTTTTTTTTCCCTGTGCAAAAACCACAGACAAATAAAATCGGGGAGGGGTGCAGGGAGCGGGAAGCAAAGGAGACTCCAGCGGGTGTTACGGCAGCACAGTCGAGGTCTCGAGAGTCGGGAAATTCCAGTCCCTGCAGCCTGCTGGTCGGAGTGCATGGAGGGCAGGGGTAAGCGTGGGGCGGAAAGAATATGCTCCCTGCTGGGAAATCATCCTGAGCTAGGCTGGGATCTCAGTGACCTGGGCTCCCTCCCCAGCACCGCCACATCCTCCTCGCGTATCACTTTGGGTTGTTTCGGCAGGAATCGTCACTCTCCATCAGGCATGCCCATCCATCAAGAGCTTCCTTGGGAAACCCAGCGTGCCCCCAACCCCTCCCTCTATGTGATACTGGTAAATAAAGCAAACGGGGATGAGTTCCTTGTGCCAGAGCCGCAGCACAGCCGTGTGAGGGCACCACAGGGGCCAGACCAGCGCCAGGATGGGGACGGGGTCTCCGGTCTAGCAGAGTCCACCAAGTTCCCAATGCAGAGGGGACCATGCCAGCCCACACCTTTGCTTGTGCAAAAACCTCCAGCCATCAATTCTTTCCCGTAATTCTTTATTCAGGTGAGCTCATTGGCGCTGCCATGGAAAACAAGCACTGCTGCAAATGAGGAGTCATGAATAATCATGCTGGCTATTTTGAAAGGCTTTTTACGCTTTGCGTAAGAGATCCAAAGAAGATCTGCTTTTAAATAGAAGAATAGTCCTCTGAAATGTTTGGTTCGGTCTGCAGCCAAGAGATGATCTGCAGCACCTCACCCCAGTGACAGCGGGTCCCCTGCCACGCACTGCTGCAGGGTCAGGCAGGGAAGGAGGGAGGATGGGACAGCGGTGACAGCACCAGCCTCTGATCATCCGTCTCCTTGCCATCGGCGGTCTGTGGGATGTGGGGCTGAACCTGCCCTGCCTCAGCTCTGCAACTGCAAAATGGGGAAAAGTGCCATGTGCACTTTAGCATTTTACAACCATTAGCATTTTACAGCCATTAAAAGACTATGAACTTCTGTCCTAGACAGGCTGAGAAAGTTGGGGTTGTTCAGCCTGGAGAAGAGAAGGCTCCAGGGAGACCTTAGAGCCCCTTCCAGTGCCTAAAGGAGGCTTGCAAGGGACTACTCACAAGGACATGTGGTTAGGGGACAAGGGGGAATGGCCTTAAGCTGAAGAAAGGCAGGTTTATATTAGACATTAGGAAGAAATTCATTACTGTAAGAGTGGTGAGGTCCTGGCACACATTTCCCAGAGAAGCTGTGGCTGCCCCACCCCTGGAAGTGTCCAGGGCCATGTTGGATGGGGCTTGGAGCAACCTGGTCTAGTGAAGGGTGTCCCTGCCCATGGCAGGACATTGGAATGAGATGATCTTTAAGGTCTTTTCCAACCCAAACCATTCTATGATTCCATGATTCTATTCTCTGTAGAGGTAGCTCTCTAAATGGCTGAAATTAAGGGATACAAATAGATTTTGCATAAGAAAATTCTAACCCCCAGCCTCTGGTTGTGCATTTAATGTGGCTCCAGTGAGAGTTTTCTTGTAACCTGTTTCCATTTAAGCTGGGCACATACCACCCATTATTTACAGAGATAATTTAATTCCTTCCCCCTCCACCAGTTCTTTCTCTCTCTGCCTAATACACTCCAAACAGGAATTAAGGATACAAATGCAAAATCTCCACTTTTTCTTTAATTTCTTTCCTGTGAGCCCTCAGTCCAGCTCTCCAGCCCGCCCTGTCCAACCTGGGAAAGCCCAAAAAAAAAAGGAGAGAAAAATGACAATGGAGAAAGTGCTTGCCTTGCTTTAGTTAAGCCTGTAGCAAAATATTTCTTTTGCTACCTGTTTATTAGTATTCTGGTACAACAGGGAAAGGGTTATCCAAACAGTTACTGGACCATGGGAAACCTCTTTTTTGCTGAGAATAAGAGATTTTTTGAGAGCCACCTCTGGTAGTTTTATGCACTTCTGCTTCCCTGATGAATATTTTCATATTCTCAGTTTCAGTGCAGGATGACTGTCGTGTTGGGCCACACAGTGCACATCTGGTCTGTGCAGAGCAGAGACAGAGAGGGCATGTTCTCAGTGTGATCCTCTTTCATTACACCTCCACTTGAACCCAAACATCTGCCATCGTGTCCAGTGACTTGAGCCAAACAAACCACCTTCAGAAAATAAAAGCAGACCCAACTGGTGTTAGCAAAAAGGACTAAAAGCATGGGAGGGGAAATGTAAGCCGAGAGAAAGTGGGAGGAAGAAAATTGCAAGGAGCAAATATCTGGAGAATGATCCGATAACCACAGAGCAGCAGCCCCTTAGTTGTGAATGGCAAAAAAAAACCCAAACAAAAAACAACAAAAAAACAGAGAGCTGGTAAAATTTGCAGGCAGTATGAAAACAAGATTGGTGGCAAATAGCCACGGGCACAGGTTGGTTGTGCAGGCAGGTGCTGATGGCTGAATTGGGAACCCCGAAACAACTCGTTTCAATGTGGCCACAGGAAGAGGCAGATGTTTTTGGAGCAAGGGATGTGGGTCACACCTAGGACATTGGGGGATGCATCCTGGAAATCAGTGACTCAGAACCAGATTGAATGGTCCTGGTAGACAATTGCTTGTGTATGAACTCCCAGCAGTGTCTTAGCCAAGAAGGTTGGAGTAATCCTTGGCTGCGCAGCCGGCAAATATGAAGTGGGAGTGCTGAAGTGATATTATCTCTGTAAACAGCATTAGTGAGGCCATTTCTGAAAAGTTATGTCTAGTCCTGATGTTCACATGTCCAAAAAAAGATCTTAGGGAAACAGCAAAGATTTCTGCCAGAGAGATTTCAGGCATTGAAAGTCTGCTCTAGAGAGAAAACCATATCCAAGAGTGACTTTACTCCCATTTACCAATATCTGCACAGGTGTAAATGCTGGAAATAACACCAAGAAAAGTTGTAATGAGATGGAAACTGAGAAATTTGGATTAAATCCAAGTGAGAGATCTGAACCAGTTGTGCAGAGGTCAGGTTTCCCCTACCCGGTCCAGTTGACCACCCACCATCCAACATGGCTAAAGGTTGGCAGGTTTTTCGTGCCAACTGCTCATCAAAGTGGCCAAGATGATGTCTGATTGCCTTTAGCTCGTTAGTTTTCTGACCTCTTGTTTAGAGGAGGAAATAGGATTGGCTTTTGGTGCAGAACTTGAGGCTACACTACTGCTACAATCCAGGAATTTGGATGGACCTACTGCTATTGCTGTAGGTCATCGTTTTGGGGAGATGTGGTGGGACTGGGCGAATCTCTGCACACAAAGTCACTTTGTGTGTTGAACAGAAGGCTGGCACAGGGAGATTTTTCTTAGATTACTTAGCCAGAAAGGTAGCAACCAAGGTAATTGGGCACGAAAGCCCTTTTTTTGCTAACTGTTAAAAAACATGGAGTAAAACAGATGGATCAAAAGCTTGTTGACATTCATGGGGATCTTTCCAAGCGACTTCAGTGGGGTTTTGGCTTAGGTACATATGCACTCGGATATCAGTAGGCTGATCTCAACAGCAAATGAAATGGCCCCTGGATGTCACTGCTGTGCTGCAGTAGAGCAGCAGAAGAGTCTCATTCTATGGGATGTAAAGAAGATGGAGTTAAGACCCAGAGGAGAGGCCTGGATAACTGGAAGCATTGGCTCAGGCCTTTGGTCTTCCTCCAGCACAGATTGCAAATGACTGCAAGTTATCATCTGACAGATGCTCTGTTGTGGCTCCAGTCCATTTCCTACTGCACAAGTCTATACATCACCACCAGCGCTGTCGTCAAGCCTGCGTGGTCAAACCAGTCTTGGCTGCTGGGGTTTTTTGCAGGTTCTCCTCTTTCCTTTTTCAAACTCCTCCCTTCTCCAGGAAAAATTAAAAAATAAACAAACAAAACCACACACACACAAAAGAAAACCCCAACAAAACCCAATCCACCATCCACCATAAATTTAATTTATTTCAATATAAAGTCTGAGCCTTATGGTCTCATAGAAGATGTAAGGAACCAATTCATTGATGTCTCCTTCAGTTTGCAAATCTTAGTGTGAGAGATACTGCCATTCTCAGTAGGTTGATAACAATGAAACCTAATGATGACATTTAAAACTATTATTTCTATCAACAGCTTGCCTGGGGTTTAATTTGATGACATTTAAACATATCATTTTATCAACGGTTTGCCTGGGGTTCAGTTTGATGGAAGACTTTCAGATGAGTTGTTTGCTCCTGGGAAGGCACAGGACTGGATTGTTTGGGGTGGTGGAGATATAAGAACCCAAATTCCTCCCATTACCCCCACAATAATTCTCATGAGGGAAATATATGTAGTCAGCACAAAAACTTTTAGGAAGTGCAAACTGTCAGGGTGGAATACAATAGTTTGAATTTAATCTGAGAATAAGCAACACTGGGAAGAGTGGGCCGATTGCATCACTCATTTCCCAGTTGGCTGCACTAAAAACCTTTAATTCAACTCTGAAATTTCTGCTGAGTTCCTGTCCACTGCACTAAAGTAAAGCAGCCTTGCTTCAAAATTGACTTTGACTTTGCAAACAAGTCTGCAGGAATTCCTACCCAGCTGACTGCTGTCATTTATTTAAGCAGCTCAATACAGGATTAAGTAGCCCTGGAGCCTGG